AACGCGTGTGGGCCCGATCGCAGCCTGACTGTGCGCTTCACGCCTGCCCGGTGGCCCCGACGGGCACATGCATGGCACTGAGCAGCCTGTGAAGGGAACGCGGCTCTGGCCGGCCTGGCTGCGCGGGCTGCCTGCAGCTCCTGCTCCTCCATGGTGGAGACCCGGCCCACCTGCCCTGGCATCTCCAGCACCAGCACGGGCCCTGCGCAGAGAGGACCCGCGTTACTTTTATTTTTTTTTCTTTCAAATTTTGCCATAGGGTGCATGTGCTCACCTGAGAGACTGGGGTGGGGAAGCGAGCAATCATCCCCGGGGGATGGCCATGCCACAGTCCTTTCTCCTCCATTCTCCTTAGGGCGTTTTGAGCATGCACGCACACACGTGTTCCAGGCATGGTTTCCAAGCCATTGGGTGTGGGACTCAAACCGTGGTCAGCCACCATGCCACCTATTGGCCCTCACCATTACGTTTTTTAAAAATTTTATTTCTTTATTTGAGCGGGGCAGGGAGGGGGGGCTCACTCAGTAGGCGCTCACGCTGCAGTCCCTCCTCGGCCTTCCCAGCCTGCCAGGGTCATGGCACACGTGCCCGGTGGGTGCAGGGCCATGCGGGAACCTGGCCCCACAGGAACCTCGAGGCCCAGCACTGTGGGGCCCGCACCACTCCTGCCCCATCCCCACTGTGGCTTAACCCCATCACCTTTTTATCAAAAGCTCCCCAATATTCCCTACAGGAAGAGCCTTGGGGAGACATGCTCTGGGGCCCACGGTCTCACTCTGCAGGGACTGACCTGGCCTAAGCACCTAAGCGCTGTGTTGCAGGCACCCCTCAGGTCCAGCACACAGGAAGCTGTCGCCCTCTGGGGCTCAGGGCAGGGTCCAGGCGTGACCTGCGGCATAGGGAAGAGGTGCTGCGGGCCTTAGGCGCCGAGGCTCCCCGACCTGGCCGTGCTGGGGGCTCTCAGTGCCCCAGGCTGCCCCTCAGTCCACCTGAATGACCTGCAGGAGAGGGCGCCGCGCTGAGGGACCTGCATCCAGATTGGCTCAGCCCCAGAAGACTGATCTGTAGGCAAGCCGGGACCGGCAGCACTGGGCTCCAGGGGTTCTCTGGAGAGATGGTGCTGGACCGCACTGTCGGCCCGACCATCTCTAGGGACAGAACCCACCTGCGGCTGAGAGAGGGGAACTCAGGGCCAGGGATGAAGGGACGCCAGGCTCTTCCCCACAAGGAAATGCGGCTGCAGGAGGTCTAGGCCCCACCCATGCCTCATTCACCTCAGGCCTCAGGAGCCATCATGACCCAGCGCTGTGCCAAACTAAACAGGGACGCTAGGACGAAAGCAGTGACTGAGAGGGGAGGCACCCAGAGCCCCACAGTCCTGTCTGCGACATGAGATCCGCTCCCAG